ACGATGATGACGGTGACGACGGTGACGATGATGACGATGACGACGGTGACGATGACGACGGTGACGACGATGACGATGACGACGGTGACGATGACGACGGTGACGACGGTGACGATGACGACGGTGACGATGATGACGGTGACGAAGGTGACGACGGTGACGATGATGACAATGACGACGGTGACGATGATGACGGTGACGATGACGATGGTGACGATGATGACGATGACGACGGTGACGATGATGACGACGACGGTGACGATGATGACGATGACGACGGTGACGATGACGACGGTGACGATGATGACGATGACGACGGTGACGATGATGACGATGACAACGGTGACGATGATGACGACGGTGACGATCATGACAATGACGACGGTGACGATGATGACGATGACGACGGTGACGATGATGACGATGACGACGGTGACGATGATGACGATGACGACGGTGACGACGATGACGATGACGACGGTGACGATGATGACGACGGTGACGATGACGACGATGACGACGGTGACGATGGTGACGATGACGACGGTGACGATGACGATGATGACGACGGTGACGATGATGACGATGACGACGGTGACGATGGTGACGATGACGACGGTGACGATGATGACGATGACGACGGTGACGGTGACGACGGTGACGATGATGACGATGACGACGGTGACGACGGTGACGATGATGACGATGACGACGGTGACGACGGTGACGATGTTGACGATGATGACGGTGACGACGGTGACGATGATGACGATGACGACGGTGACGATGGTGACGATGACGACGGTGACGACGGTGACGATGGTGACGATGACGACGATGACGACGGTGACGATGACGACGGTGACGATGATGACGATGACGACGGTGACGATGATGACGATGACGACGATGACGATGATGACGGTGACGATGATGACGATGATGACGGTGACGATGATGACGATGACGACGGTGACGATGATGACGACGACGGTGACGATGATGACGATGACGACGGTGACGATGATGACGATGACGACGGTGACAATGATGACGACGGTGACGATGACGACGGTGACGATGATGACGATGACGACGGTGACGACGGTGACGATGATGACGATAGTGACGATGATGACGACGGTGACGATGATGACGATGACGACGGTGACGATGATGACGACGACGGTGACGATGATGACGATGACGACGGTGACGATGATGACGATGACGACGGTGACGGTGACGACGGTGACGACGGTGACGACGGTGACGACGACGGTGACGATGATGACGACGGTGACGATGATGACGATGACGATGGTGACGTTGATGACGATGACGACGGTGATGACGACGTTGACGATGACGACGATGACGATGATGACGATGACGATGGTGACGATGATGACGATGACGACGGTGACGATGATTACGATGACGACGGTGACGATGATTACGATGACGACGGTGACGATGACGACGGTGACGATGATGACGACGTTGACGATGACGACGATGACGACGATGACGACGGTGACGACGATGACGACGGTGACGATGATGACGACGGTGACGATGATGACGACGTTGACGATGACGACGATAACGACGATGAAGACGGTGACGACGGTGACGACGGTGACGATGATGACGATGACGACGGTGACGATGATGACGATGACGACGGTGACGATGACGACGGTGACGATGATTACGATGACGACGGTGACGATGATGACGATGACGACGGTGACGATGACGACAGTGACGATGACGACGATGATGACGGTGACGATGGTGACGATGATGACGACGATGACGACGGTGACGATGACGATGGTGACGACGGTGACGATGATGACGACGGTGACGATGATGACGATGACGACGGTGACGATGGTGACGATGATGACGACGGTGACGACGATGACGGTGACGACGGTGACGATGATGACGATGATGACGATGACGACGGTGACGATGATGACGACGATGACGACGGTGACGACGACGACGGTGACGACGGTGACGATGATGACGACGGTGACGATGATGACGATGACGACGGTGACGATGATGACGATGATGACGATGACGACGGTGACGATGATGACGACGATGACGACGGTGACGATGACGACGGTGACGATGATGATTACGATGACGACGGTGACGATGATGATGACGATGACGACGGTGACGATGATGACGGTGACGATGATGACGATGACGACGGTGACGATGATGACGATGACGACGGTGACGATGATGACGATGACGACGGTGACGATGACGACGGTGACGATGATGACGATGACGACGGTGACGGTGACGATGATGACGATGACAATAATGACGATGACGACGGTGACGATTACGACGATGACGACGGTGACGATTACGACGATGACGACGACGACGGTGACGATGACGACGGTGACGATGATGACGACGGTGACGACGATGACGACGGTGACGACGATGACGGTGACGATGATGACGGTGACGACGATGACGACCGTGACGATGATGACGATGACGATGATGACGATGACGACGGTGACGATGATGACGGTGACGACGGTGACGATGACGACGGTGACGATCTTCAGCAGCAACGACGATGAGAATCCCACTCCAGCCGACAGCCCCGAGGTCCCCTCCCGGGACCCCTCTTCTACTGGGGGGCGTGGCCTGACTCCGCCCTGGTCACGCCCCCTTCTGGAACCTTCCAGCGGGTTCCCGGATGTGCCCCTTCCGTGACCTTGCCCCGAGATTCGGGATGAACGATTTGGGGAAAATATCAAATTGCGATTCTTCTGACAGATATTGCGATTTGATTTGACTTGCGATCACATTTTTTAAAGTCAAGCTTCAGTTCAATATTTTGATGGAACCACATGATACCATCAAAATATGAACTGCTCTATATATTCTAATGCAAGGATGAGAACTTAAAAGATATGAATTGCTTACAACATCTATTTATTAAAACATTTAATTGAAATAGAGCAATCAAACATAGAACACTTGTTAAGTTAAATAAAACAAGTTATGATAATAAAAATGAAATAATTCCAAGAAGTAAGAGGACTTTTCAAATCACAGGCTTTGCGATTTGGTAATCGCATTGTTTCAAATTGCGATTTCAATTTGAAATCAATTAATCGTCCAGCACGACCCTGTCACGTGGCCTGCTGTCAGTCAGGGCTGCTCTCAGCTGCAGATCCCCTGCCAGCAGCCAGCGTTGTGCTACCACGTGACCGATTCTGTCACGACACAAATATCCACCGCGTAGCCTTCAACAAGAGACTGTTGGGGCAAGTGCTGTAAGCGAGCGCATGTGAAGGACGGCGCACGGGAGGCGAAGTTGCCACGTGTAGTCAACGTCGAGTCATTTGCTCAGGGGCGGTTTCTTCTTTAGGGCGATTGGGCGACGCACCACCAATCTCAGCCGTTACTGTGCCTCTGGATATAGTCCAATCAGCGTCATGTCACGTTCTGTGGAGTGGCGCCTCTTTTTGGGCGATTTCACTCTGGCTGAGAATCGCCCCGAGTGGCCCCATAGACTTACATTCAAAGATGTTTTTTTTCGAACGGCGGGCGCTGCAATGCATTCTCTATGGCTTCCGGGAGGGCTCGCACTAACGTGCTTATATCATCATACGTAAGCACGTTTCAGTCAACAATATTATTTGTCGCTACCAAGTGGAATCTTTAATAAAAGATACTGAGTGGATTGTAATAATAGTGAGTATAGAAACAAACAAGATGTATTGTAAGAGTCACTTTATTTTTCATTAATATTAAAGAAGTGAAGTTGCCTTTACATGCTTAAGCTGTTAATTTATCCATTGCATGGGTGGACCTTATCCTTATCAATCATCCAGACATTTGCCCCCCCCCCCTGAGAGATTTTGCAGGAGCCGCCACTGCATTTGCGGTGTCATTATTCCAAATGTGTGACCAGTGACGCAGGCACATGATGGATTACTCTTGCAAATGGCATCACGGCACGTTTTAACTTCCACCTTGAAGGAGACGGCTCGTAGTAGTGCAGTGAAATCATTAAAGTCCATCGTTTAACGCGAAAAAAGCGTTCAGAAAAAACTATTTCTCCATACATAATATAGTGATAAAGTGTGGCGAGATACGGTGTAGCAATAACTGAGGGTACGCGGCCACGTTGCTGCATCACTCCGCGCCTTCCGTGTTGTACGAAAAGCGTTCCCGAACGGAAAAACCGCGTTCCAGCCAAAACGCGTTATAGTGTGAACACCAGGCGTTAAGCGAGGACTTACCAGAGTAGTTCTTTAAGGTTGATACCGCGGTAATATCCAGGGCGGGCCGCCGGGTTAGAACCGTGAACCAATGCAGCGATGAGAAGCGGGGAACGCGCTATACCGGCTGTGTCGCACGTGTCACAACCCCCACTGTCAGCCCTCGTTTAATTAACGAGCCCTCCATGCGGACTCGTGACAGCCATCTGACAGCGCCATAATTAACGCACAAAAACAGTGTCAGTGCATCTCGCGTGGCAGCATCGGCGAGAGCGGATCTCGTTGTTGTTACCACGATAAATTGAATCGACACAATCTCCCGTTCGCACACAAACACACAATCATACACACGCCCCGTGTAGCCTGAACACACTGTTGGGGCAAGTGCTGTTAGCGGGTAGCACCGACGGAGGTCAGTAAGGGCACACGAGGGGGTGGGTGGCCAGCACCACGCCCGGCCGCCTTTGACTCTCATTTGAGGCTGAGTCGACCTAGGGGAGGCCCAAGACCGGGAGAGATAATCGTCAACGGTGTTGGCCGTGAGCGGGAATCCAACTCGGGCGGCGGGTTCGTAGCGCAGCGCGCTGACCCGTTCCCCGCAAACCCACCCGCGCCACCTCCACACACGCAGATCTCACAGCCGACGACGACCCGGAGGTCCCGATGCACCCTCACGTCCCCCACCCCATCCCACCCCCATCCCACCCGCCCTCGCAGAGGCCACGCAGCGCCACCCCGCGGCCGCTGTGCCTGGAGGACTGCATGCAGCTGCTGGAGGAGCTCTTCCCATTCGTGGACACGAGCGTCGGAGACGCGGGCCCGGTGCGCGAGGGAGGGCCCCCACAGGGGACGCAGTGACACGAAATACCACCAAGTGACACGCAGTGACACGCAGTGACACGAAATACCACCAAGTGACACGCAGTGACACGAAATACCGAACAGTGACACACAGTGACACGAAATACCACGCAGAGCCACGCTGACACGCAGTGATACAGTGCCACTCTGTACCACGTTGTGCCACGCAGTGACACGCAGTGACACGCTGTGACATGAAATACCACACAGTGACACGCAGTGACACGAAATACCACGAAGTGACACGCAGAGCCACGCAGTACCACGCAGTTACCACGCAGTGCCACGCTGTGACACGCAGTGACACGAAATACTACGCAGAGCCACGCAGTGACACGAAATACCACACAGTGACACGCAGTGACACGCAGTGCCACACTATGACACGCAGTGACACGAAATACCACGCAGAGCCACGCAGTGACACGAAATACCACACAGTGACACGCAGTGACACGCAGTGCCACACTATGACACGCAGTGACACGAAATACCACGCAGAGCCACGCTGACACGCAGTGATACAGTGCCACTCTGTACCACGTTGTGCCACGCAGTGACACGGAGTGACACGAAATACCACACAGTGACACGTTGTGACACGAAATACCACGCAGAGCCACGCTGACACGCAGTGATACAGTGCCACTCTGTACCACGTTGTGCCATGCAGTGACACGGAGTGACACGAAATACCACACAGTGACACGTTGTGACACGAAATACCACGCAGAGCCACGCTGACACGCAGTGATACAGTGCCACTCTATACCACGTTGTGCCACGCAGTGACACGCAGTGGCACGCTGTGACATGCAGTGACACGAAATACCACACAGTGACACGCAGTGACACGAAATACCACGCAGAGCCACGCTGACACGCATTGATACAGTGCCACTCTGTACCACGTTGTGCCACGCAGTGACACGCTGTGCCACGCAATGGAATACAACGCAGTGTCACACAGTGCGATGCAGTGCAATACCACCCAGGGCAATGTAGTACCATTCCATAGCATGGAATGCAACAATGTACCACCATGCAGTACAACACCATGCAGTACAATGCAGTACTGTGTGTACGGTCATTTCATTCGACAGGGAGAGTGGCGGTAGATGCAGAGCAACGACTTCAATGTCACATTCAGGTGGTCAAACGGGATAGTCGCGGTGGTCAAACGGGATAGTCCCCTTCGTATTCGTGGATCGGGCATTGCGTCGTGGTACGTTGTACGGCCTGTCCTGGATGACCACAGTCGCACACGGAGGGCTTCATGAGAGAGCATGCCGATGGAGCGAACTCGAGATAGTACCTCGAAGCTGACACATATCACCTCCCAATAATGAGTGCACCAAGTAATTCGCCGCCCATGGCGCAAGGTCTTCGGTTAAACACAACGTACAAACGTGGCCACTAACGCGTGCTGCTCGCTGTGCAGATGTCTGGCGCCAACGCAATGGCACCGACGAGGGACTCCAGCCGATATCAGCACCAGCTGCATCACCACCACCAACAGCAGCAGCAGCATCACCAGCAGCATCATCAGCAGCATCAGCATCAGCAAGGCGTGACTCCATTTCAAGTGGCGTGTCCTCTCTCCGAACACATGCTGGCCAGAGATCTGGAGCAGGGCTGGCAAGAGATATTGGAAATGCCCGAGATGCAGGTTAATATCGAATCATCATCACTATGATCATGTCATCCTTATCCTCGTCATCAACATTACTGATGGTGGATATGCACATGGTGTGTGACCCAGCGCTGCGAAGACAGCAGTGAAGGGGTTGATGGAACACATACAGATGGGTGCCACTGTTGGGAGATGTTAACTAACTCTCCTGGTATACACGAGGTCGTGGGCTCGATCCCGACCCTGATACCTGCTGTATATTTGAAGTTTGCACGTCTCTCTCTCTCCCCGTGGTCGCGTGGATTTGTGTTCAGGTCCTCCGGTTTTTCCCTCCACATTTAGAACCAACGTGCGTTTAGCGCATTTGGCTGATGCATGTCCACATGATAAGTAACTTCGTTGAGCTATCATCTGTGGCCAGTTTGCTTCTGAAAAAGTAGCTACATAGCTTAGTGAGATTTACCTGGTAAAATAAAAATAAAATTCGGTGTCTTTCGGTAAAGCCACGTAAATAAAATATTTTTTTTTATAAATAATACAAATATGACGTTTCGATCGCAACACAAGCAATCGTCATCAGGTGAAAAAAATACAGCGGGAGAGTTGCTGAGGCAGGATGTTTATAAAGGTTTGAGATGGGTGTAGCCCAAGGGTAATAATCGAAGTGGCTGGGGCTAGAGATGAAATTTGCGTGTAAATGTAAGATCCGAGAGCTAACTCCACCACTACGAAGCTGTGGAGGTGGCCATTGTATTGTGAGAGATTAGCATGTCAATGTAGGAAAACAGAAGACCAACAACGCATCGAGGCCAATGAGCAAAGGTGGCTGTGTTAGTGAGACATTTAGCCTGTTAATGTAAAGACATTTAACCTGGTAATGTAACTCAAAGAGTCTAAAATAACTGCTAACATCGGCAGGTATGAAATAAACATCACAGCCAGTTATAATAACGTCCTTCCAATGATTGCTCAGATTATACCCATCTTCTCGGTTGAAATTGTGTCTGTGTTTATATATCTGGATGGCTTCATGAACGAATCTTTGCTGATAATCTTCACCACTACCATCACCACCACTATCACTACAATCATCTTCATTATCATCATCACAATAATCAGAATTGATGTAATTAGAATTGTCATCATCAGCATTTCGTGCTACCCATCAACATTGTCTTCGGCTTACACTCGGCACACATGCAGGCACCACTCATTCCACCTTTGCATCTAATTCAAGTCGTGACTTCACTGTAACCCTCGTCTCAGGCGCTCGACGTGACTGCACCCGCACAGCACCATCATCAGCACCAGCAGCACCAGCAGCACCATCATCAGCACCAGCATCAGCAGCAGGCGCCGCCAGGAGCCGCCGACGCCTCCTTGTACAGCGAGTCGCCGGATCTCGTCGATGGCTTCTGCCAGCGGCGCGCCCGGCTGCCCGGCCAGAGCTTCTACCCAGGCGGAGTTGGCGCCACCGCCACGGGCGGCACGGGCGCCCCCACCGGCTTCCGCGCCGCTTTCTCGGCAGGCTGCGCGCCGCCGCCGCCGCTCGGGCCCGAGCCCCGGGGCTTTGCCCGGGCCAAGCCGGAGTACGCGGCGACCTCCGGCGGCGCCGGCTACGAGGAGATCGGCTACTTTGGCTCGGCACGATGCGTGCCGCGCCACGCCGGCGCCCCGCCACCGCATCCGCCGCCGCCGCCCTCCTCCTCCGCCGCCGCCTCCCCGGCCACCGGCAGCGGCGGCGGCTACCAGCCCCTGCCCGTGGGGCCGCCGGGAGCGACGTTCGGGAGCTTCGGGGTGTGCGGTGGCGCGGATGGCGTCGGTGTCGTTGGTGTCGCTGGCGGAGGAGGTGGTGGAGGTGGGTCGCGCGAGCAGCCGTGCGCTCGCCGCTGTCTCAGCCCAGGCGCGGGGCCGTACCCCGACTCGGCGGCCGTGCTGCTGCCCTACGCAGACCAACTGGGCTGCTACGGCGGCGGCGGCAGCAGCAGCGATAGCAGCGGCGGCGGTGGCGACGGCGGCAAAGAGACGTACGAGAGCTTCGGGACCCTGGGCTACGAGGCGGGCGCTGACGGCGGAGAGGAGCAGATGCCGTGCGAGATGATGTACTTGGACCATCGCCACCAGCGGCACCAGCAGCACGACGTGCGCAGGGGCGAGCCCAGCACCACCCCGGACTACATCTCCTTCCTCGGCGCGTCGGCCCTGGTGGACCTCGGCGGCAGCGCCGGTGGGGTCTGCGTAGCGGCGAGCGAAGGCGGCGGAGTTTGCGGAGCGGCGGGAATGACGAGGGTCGGAGGGCCGTTGCCGCCGGGCGCCGCCGCCGCCACCGGGCCCGACTGCCTCCACCCGGACCCCCTGTCACCGCCGCCGGGGGCGGCGCGATGCGGCGGCGCGGCGGCGTCCCTCCGCCCGCCGCCGCAGTCGGGCGCGGACGCCCGGCCGAGCCGCGACGAGCGCCGCGCGGCCGCCATGCGCATCCCGATCGGCGTGTCACAGATCGTCAACGTGGCCGTGGACGACTTCAACGAGCTGCTGGCGCGCCACCGCCTCACCGAGCCGCAGCTGGCGCTCGTGCGCGACATCCGCCGGCGTGGCAAGAACAAGGTGGCGGCGCAGAACTGCCGCAAGCGTAAGCTGGACGGCCTCACGGGCCTCGAGCGCGAGTTGGCGCGCCTGCGGGGTCGCCGGGAGGCGCTGCTCGCCGAGAGGAGGGACATCGAGGAGGGGGTGGCGGCGGCCGAGCGCCGGCTGGCGGCGCTCCGGGCGCGGGTGTTCGCGGCGCTGCGCGACGAGAGCGGCAGGCCCTACCCGCCCGGGCGGTTCTGCCTGCGGCACACGAGCGACGGCGCCGTGTGCCTCGTGCCCGGCGGGGAGGGCGGCGGCGCCGGCGACGGCGACGGCCAAGCGAGCGGGCGCTGAGGTCGCGGGCGGCGTCGTCGCCTCCGTCCGACGGGACGGGCGACGGCCGGCTTCCCGAGCCACGGCGGGTCCGAGGGGTTCTCTGGATACCGCCACGGCGGCCGTGACGGTCGGCGGCGCGCCACCGGACCGGCGGTCCGGAGGTCGCCGGGTCGACGCCGTCCCTCCGGGTGCGGCGGTTGAAACAACGCGGCAAGCGTTGGAAGTCCCCGGCCTCTGTCCACCCTGCAGTAGACACTGCGGTCACCACAGGCAGTCGATTGGCAGGTCGCGCTTGTTGGGGGTAAAGTGTGCGTCGTCCCACCTCTCTCAAGACGTCTGGTTCACGTGGAACGGTCGACCGAATATCCTCTGCAGGGGCCTCTCGAGCTCCTTGTAGTGGAGGCCCTGCTGCCAGCAGGGGTCTCGGCAAGGAATTGCAGGGCTGCACCTTGTGCCTCGCGACCTTTAGCGAACATGGGAAGAATACCTCAAGAGTTCCGAGAACCACCGCCCAGGTCAGTGCGTCTTGTCGAGCGCTGGATTGGTCGTTGCGCAACGGGCGGGAAGCGGGGGTTCCTGGGAAAACCACGACGGCCAAGGTGGATTCCAGCCCCGTGGGGAGGTGGGGTGTTGAGTGCCGGGCAGCAGCTGTGATGCCGAATTTGGTTTGGTGGTTCACGTGCACATTGACTTCGAGTCGTCATTAATCATCATCAGCCATGATCCATCCACTGCTGGATGAGGCCTCCTCAATCTGTCACCATCACTCATGACCCCGCGGTCGATGCAACAATCCGTCTTGCTCCTCCGCACAAGCCCATTCATCACTCCATCTCTGCTGCGTGCTTCCCTCCTCCTCTGGCTGCCACTCCCGATTATTATTCTCCATCATCGCCCATCATCTTTCCATCAGCCCAAGCCCGTTAAACTGTTATCTGTCAACGTGATGTATTTAGTGACTCTCTCTGGCGTGTTTCAACTCACTGCTCCTGAGCTCGTCAGCCATGGTGAACCTCAGTGTTGAGGGCCAAAGGGTAACAGTGAGGTGGTGGAGGTGATGGGGGAGATGGTGGTGGAAGAAATGGTGGAGTTGGGCCCAACATTTTTGAAGTCGCACGAACAGATCTTTCAAACATCGACAAGCATACAACATGTCTATCCTACACGTCTATCCTACACGTCTGTTCATAAAAATACATATATTTATGGCCCATGGCCCCACGGCCTTCTGGGAGCAAATAATCGCGGTGGCGACATGTTAACTGTCTAGCCTGGTTACAGGAGGTCGTGGGTTCGATTCCGACCCCGAAGTCTGTATATTTGGAGTCTGCATGTCTCTCTACCCGTGGTCACGTGGATTTGTCTCCGGTTCCTCCGGCCTTTCCCTCCACATTTCTATTTGGCTGATATAAATGCCCACGTGATGATAAGCCACTTCGTTGGGCTATCATTTCTAGCTAGGTCGCTTCTGAAAGAAAGCTACATAGATCTGTGGGCCTTACGTGGTCAAACAAATATAGTTTAGATTCATGGCCATGGCTAGCATACCTTGACTGGTCCTACCACCCCCTGCCACCCCCAACGTCATTGACGCACATTGACCAACGTGGTCAAGTATGGTGAAACAACTACCCCATGGCTGAGACGGGCTAAAAGGCGGCCTCCATCCAGTCGCGGGCTATAGAGAGCGAGCTGCCGCTTTCTGTCGTAGACATTCATGGTTTGATCCACACGAGGAGCTGGAATTAAAATTCTAAATAAAATCAACCATTCTCAATCCACCAATGGACAAAGGCCTCCCCACGGCTTGTCAGTCATGGGTTTTTTTTTGGACATACTTCACCACGCTGGTCAGTACGGGTCGGTGAAGGCCGACAGGGCAGTAGGAACAGTTGTGACATCACTCACAACCCAGGGCTTCCAGTTATCACTCGACATCTTTCAGGAACACTGCTCGGCTGGCTATGAGTAGTGAAAGTCGGCGTAAGGCACTACCACTAGAGTCCAAGAAATTATGTATTTTTGTGCACTATATCTTGACACATCACCGCAATACCGTGAAGGAAAAAAATACGGCGAGATACATCCGGTGTGCCAAATCAATTACCAGAAATAAAACATTCCGGGCTATTCTGGCTAAAATTAATTGCTGCTCACTCCTGATGCTTGCCACGGTTGGAAATCGGAACTTGGCGCGACGCGCTCACCGCTGATCCACCACCACTCCACCTCGACAACACACAGCTGTGCCTTCAGAGCAGAGTGAATCTTGAACCCTCCTGTGAACTCGATAACAAACCAGGAGGTCTGCCAACAGACCAATCAGACATTATTCACTTTGGTCATCGAGTGAGGCCGACTCAACCGACTGGGCCATTATTATGATCACTGTTGTTAACCGGAAGGAAAAAAACTTTCCAAATGACACGGAAGGCCGTGGATACGACTCACTTGGTGAATGAATGGGTTCAATTCCCCGACAAGGTCAACTCAACGCATCTGTCAACATGAGCCATGGTCAATCGGGTCCTGGATGAAGACCTTCCCAAGCCGCCAGCACTCGCCACCACCGCCGCCTCTCGTCACACTGCGATGTAATTCTACTCAACTGCATCATCATCGCCGCCTCATCATTTGAACGATGACTTTTGTAATAACTGCTCGGACGAAAGCAATTTGTCTATAAAACAGACGCCAAGTTTCCTGCGCATATATTTTTAGCGAACACTTTGCCCAGCGGACGTAGCACGCAGCGGTGACACGTCCACGATGCAAACTCAAAAGCCTGATGCAGATTCTATGCAGTGGACGGTTTTGTAGTGGGAGGGTATTTTATAGGTAAGATGGTATATGTATGTACGCCGTAGCGCAGCGGTCGGGAACCTATGGCTCGCGAGCCATATATGGCTCTTCCGGTGACGGCATATGGCTCCCAGACAATTTTGAGTTGAAAAAAATAATAAAAAAATAAAAAATAAAATCAGTTTGGAACTGATTTTAAAATACTTGTGATATCGCTTAATAATACTGCGTCATTTTAAAGTAAACAGAAATTAGTTTTGAAGATAAAATTTCTCGGGTCACGGGTCACGTGACCAGAAGTCGCATTAAAAGTCAGACATTTAATTTATTATACGTTAAACATACTATATGGCTCTCAATGAAATATATTTAGAAATATTTGGCTTTTATGGCTCTCCCAGTCAAAAAGGTTCCCGACCCCTGCCGTAGCGGCTCTGTGGCCCAAGACAATTATTGTTGCTTTAAGCCGAGTGCACACCCGGAGCTTTTGGATACTCTGAAAAAGTCGCTTCCAGAAATGGCGCAACTTAAAATTGCCCGCAGCTGATTTGCCCGCAGCTGACCCGGTAGTTGCCGCACCAGGAAAGTTAAACTGGCGCGTTCAGGATTTGTGAACGACTAATCGTAGTTTTTTCGGTAAAGTCACGTAGAAGGGAAGTAATAAAATAATAAAAATAAAACATAATAAAATAAAATAATTCTCACAAATTAATATGTTTTATTTTTATTATTATTTTATTACTTCCCTTCTACGTGACTTTACCGAAAGAACCAAGAAGATGAATCCCTGCAGTCACGAAAGCTTTAAATCGAAATATAGACTAATCGTAGTTCACGACTGCTGTCACGTGATGAAATGCGTCGCTATAAATTGCTTAGCGGATTGACGCGTGAGAATAGAGACCGCCTCTGCTGTGAATGACTGGTATCAGACATCCATACGTACGACGGCTGAGCACGATTAGCAATGGTTGGCTTCATACGGTGCGAACGAGCTTCAACATGCGTACCACCGATACTTTAGTACAGCGGTCGGGAACCTATGGCTCGCGAGCCATATATGGCTCTTCCAGTGACGGCATATGGCTCCCAGACAATTTTGAGTTGAAAAAAAAATTTATAATAAAAAAATCAGTTTGGAACTGATTTTAAAATACTTGTGATATTGCTTAATAATACTGTGTCATTTTAAAGTAAACAGAAATTAGTTTTGAAGATAAATTTCACGGGTCACGCCTGCATGAAGCTCAACCTCACCACGTATGAACCAGACTACAAGGCCATCAGCAAAACCATGCAGCACTAGAAGTCGCATTAAAAGTAAGACATATTTAATTGATTATACGTTAAAAATACTATATGGCTCTCAATGAAATATATTTAGAAATATTTGGCTTTTATGGCTCTCCCAGTCAAAAAGGTTCCCGACCGCTGCTCTAGTACGTATGTTGAACTTATTTCGCACCGTACGTAGCCAACCGCGCTAATCAGAGGTGCGGGAGAAGGACAACAAACTTAACACAAGCAGGACACATCTTGGTTTTTTCGGTAAAGTCACGTAGAAGGGAAGTAATAAAAAATATAAAATATTTATATTTATTAAAATAATAAAAAAAAATATAAAATATTTAAATTTATTTTTATTATTTTATTACTTCCCTTCTACGTGACTTTACCGAAAATAATATACCGAATATAAATATAAAATATTTATATTAAATATAAAATATTTATATTTATTTTTATTATTGTAAAAAAATTAATATAAATATTTTATATTTATTTTTACTTATTTTATTACTTCTCCGCTACGTGACTTTACCGAAAAAACCAAGATGTGTCCTGCTTGTGTTAAGTTTGTTGTCCTCCCGAAAAACCAAGAAGATGAATCCCTGCAGTCACGAAAGCTTTAAATAGAAGCAGGACACACTTGGTGTGTGCGCCATTCTTAGAGCGCCAGGCAATGAAAGCGACGTGTATAACGGACACGGTCTGCAAGTGAGTTCGCAGCAAGGGGCGATGTTGCTGCGTGCAAGCCCCAACTGAGACAATTGCGGCTTCATTTTTCGAAATTTGGCAAATTTGCACCGCGACGCCGGCAGACGACGAGGCTATCCACTGCTCGTCTCGAACGACGTCACGGGACATTCCACATCCACTGTGGGGCATGCGGTGCGGTGTTTTTGTTTTTGTTTTTACCGCTTCAATACGCACAGCCGCCAGTGATAACCAGAGCGGCCCGAGCTTCCAACCGCGAATCCTCTGCAGATCAGCGACGGGCGCAACGTGGTCACAAGGCAATTCGGGTTGCACGCAACCCAGTTGCACGCAACCCAGTTGCACGCAACCCAGTTGCACGACAGACCGCCTGGGTTGGGGGGCTGGCTTCATGCGAACGGAACCTCGAGCATGGAAACAAGATTTGTCTTAACCCACGTCGATCGCTGACTGCGGTGGGTCTTGGGTCCGCCGACCCCTGGGGGTCACGTGGCAATGTCCCAGGGGGTACGTTCGGTGTGAAATGATATTAAACGCGAGAGTCGTTGGTGAATAATCATATATGAGCCTGCCAAAATAAAATAACTACGATCAAATATAAATCCACATGGTAGCCTAGAACGATATAAAAGACCTTTCCAAACTCATTCCTTGTACACAAAGTGGAAGCAACGAGTGGAAACAAATGACGTCACGCATGCAGAGCGTCCGTTGACGATTTTTTTTATTTGCTTGCAGTTACTTAGTTAGGAATACCTCACAATGGACAATCGGTTAAAATATTGACGTTCAATATTCATACTTTTATTTCTCAGAACCACGTTGGGACAGGCGAGGGGGTTACTCAGTTTAAACAAAATCCAACAAGGGGGGTCCAGCAGTAGCCAAACAAGGCGCAGTCACTCACGGCCCCGTCAGGATGATTTTTGAGAATGAATCCGTTGAATAATTTACTACACAATTGTTTTTTTTATTTAAAAATTAAACAAAATAAAAGTTGTTTTAAAAAGAGCGCAGGCGATGTATTGAGAGTCGTGTTCTCAAAGTGACTTCGCCCGTCTCAATGTCACTTTAAAACCTCATTGTCTACTTTGTATTACAAATCATGTTTGGTCATTTATATCGTCGTCCATGCAAATTGAATCTCACAATCGCGAATTAAATTAAAACGACTAAACTCTGTTTTATTTGACCACGTAAAATGCTCACTGAGCTATGAAGTTCTTTTTTCAGAAGCGACCTGGCCACGAATGGTCGCTTAATGAGGCGGCTCATCACGTTGAAACGTATCAGCGACCAAACACTCGAAACGCGTGGTGACGCTGATTCTAAATGTGGAGGGGGAAACCGAAGGACCCGGAGAAAAATCCACGCAACCACGGGGAGAACACGCAAACTGCAAATATAGAGCAGGCGTCAGGGTCGGGATCAAACCCACGACCTCCTGCATACGAGGCGAGGTAGTCAACATCTAACCACCGTGAGCAAGGCAATGAGCCGGTGATAGCAAGACCTTTTCAGTCCACTTATTTATTTAAGATGCTTTCATCCATTTATAATGAGAGTTTATACATGTGGCAGTAGGCCTCGGCAAGGTAAGGTAAAAGTGTAAAAACAACGAGCCTACCTTTACTCTACCTTTGACCTTACCACAAAACAATCACTCTACCCTACCTTATACCCTTTAGCAGGTAAGGTAAAGGGTAATAAGTATAACCCGTAAAAACAAAGTTTTTCACTATAAATCCTTTATATGCGTGGCAGCGAACTTAATATAAAGGATTTAAAAATATATTTGCCTGGAGGACGCGGGGATCAATATCGCGACCTTTGGCATGGGAAGCGAGGGCGCTACCAACTGCGCTACTCCGCCACGGCCTGTGGAGGGGTTACGCTCTGGGCTCTTACACTCTGACGTTCAGCCAAAGCCAAGAATGAGTTATATTTGAATAAATGTAAAATATTTTTTTTGCCTAAAAAGTGTAAAATTTTGGGAATTTTTTTTCACGAACAATAATTGTCTGGCACAACGAGTCTGTGTGGAAAATGTCAGCTCGATTGGATCACGGGAAGTGGGTTAAAAAACGACCGAAAGATTTGCACGGTCCTAAGCAAGCAAGCACGCAAGCAAGCAAGCATGCGAACTTAATATAAAGGATTTAAAAAGCAACGAGCCTACCTTTACCCTACCCTTTACCTTACCCCTTGGCATGTCGACACCTTTACCTTTACCCTTTTACCCGGTAAAAAGGGTAAATTACCTTACCTTGCCGAGGTCTAGGTGGCAGGCAACCGGAGAACCTGGAGCAAACTCGCACGTGTGGGGAGTCAAACACCATCCCGCACTGAATGGGCAAATGGAGATGTGTCTGAACTTTTCTGCAGCACGGCTGTGGACTCGTCTTAACGCAGAGTTATTATTTTGGGCAACAGAGCCGCTACGAAGGCCGCACAGAGAGCAAGAGCGGACATTTACTTACAAAATACCCTCCCACGACAAAACCGTGCGCTTCGTAGAATCTGCGGAAGGCTTCCGAGTTGGCATCGCGGCCGGGTGACCACGGCATCAGAGCCGGCCCAGCCACGAAGCGACCCTTGCAATTGCAAAGGGCCCCGTGGCCAGCAGAGGGCCCCCTAGAGTCACTGCTAGCTCGTGGGTGAAAACAAGTATAACCCGTAAAAACAAAGTTTTTCACTATAAATCCTTTATATGCGTGGCGGCAAGAGTCCTCTCGTCCTCTGGCTTGAGATGGCTGCCACCTATGGGTCAGATGATTGCATGGCAGCATTAAGTAATTGGTAATTAAATATATTTTTGTCCTAAAAAGTGTAAAATTTTGGGAAAAAAATTTCACGAACATTGTCACGCACAACGAGTTTGTGTGGAAAATGTCAGCTCGATTGGATCACGGGAAGTGGGTTAAAAAACGACCAAAAGATTTGCACGGTCCTAAGCAAGCAAGCAAGCACGCAAGCAAGCAAGCGAACTTAATATAAAGGATTTAAAAATCATACATCAAAGGGGCCGACAACCAAATTTTGCTTAGGGCCCCCAAAGGTCTAGGGCCGGTTCTGCACGGCATGCTCAGTCGGCTACAGGGCAAAGTGTTCACAAAGTACGCCGGGAACTTGGCGTCTGCTGATTTACAAAGTACTTTGGTCCGCGCGACGAAGCGTCGACATCCGATTAGCAGTTGGCGACATACATTGCAAAGAAGTTCATCATACAATCTCAGACCGTAATTAACTCTCCATCCATGGTGCTCGATTGAATAAACAAAGTGACCATACTTCACCATGCTGATCAGTGCAAGTTGGTAAATACGGGGAGACGTGGGAGCATAAGAGTAGAGTACAATAAATGTTTCTGTACTGCCCTCAACGGACCACCACGTGGCCCTTAGCTCATCAAAAAGGGGCATTGCCCAAAACATTACCCGTTTCCCTTTAAAGACAGTGCTATTGACCAATGTGGTGAAGTATGGTCATACAACCCCCATGATCGACAGGGCAAAATGATGACCTCCCAGTCCCCAGCTCTGCTTCAACCAGCTAAGGCATCGGACGGGAAGCTGTAGGTGGGTGCTTGGCATTGTTCGGACATCTTTGAGCTAATTTCAACACGCAGACCTCGTTATTGGAAAGCAAACCTCGACGAGTTGGAGACAGCCAACATGGTGACGTGTAGCAGAGTATCGACAAGGCTCGACGGGACCTGCAAGATCCGACCATGTCCGTCCAGTGCTTGCAGAGCTGGATTGGCTTCGGGTTGCCAAACGAACACATTTTAGGTTGAATTCATTATACACAAAGTGCTGCCTACAAATTAACCATTGTCTTGATCTCGTAAAGGAGCACAACACCGTCTTTAGAACTGCTCGTGTTGAATTTGTGGTCTTTCTCGCCCATACCTCTTGATTAGCACGGTTGACTACGTACGGTACAAAAGAAGTCGAACGTACATACACACAACTCGGAGAAATTGGGAGTCAGGCACAGATAGACGACTAGAAAAGGATGAGTTTATTTTAACGTAATAAAAAAGAGCCTAAGATCTCCCGTTTAAAGAAACGGCTATCAGGGCTACCGCGGCCACGACGCACAAACTCATCTTGGAACGCACCGCCCGCCGCCGTGGCGTAGTTCAGCATCGTGCACGCCAATAACATTCGCTCATCTGAAGCCACCGTCGACATTTCATGAGCCACACAATTTGGAAACTTTGCAGAAGAGTGCGGCCACATGTTAACGCCACATTACTGCAGGAGCGATTTTGCACAAAAAAATCTAAAATAAATCTTAAGTGGTATTTTAATCCTTCACGCAGTAGTGGGTGGGGGGGGGGGTCGCACTTTCTACGAGATCAGTTGTATGGCAGTCAAACTAGTTATAGATACTTACGACGTAAGCTTTCGCGACCTACATTGTTAGAAATAATGGGTGACGTCGCGAAAATGTAAACGTTTTCATACACCCACCTCCACCAGACAGCCAATTAATAAGATTTGTCACATGAACAGAACGTGCCAATTTATCACCAATTCAGCACACCGTTGTACTGAGCAGAGCAAACCCACATTTACAATCGAGTACTCAATTTACACTTGACGTATACTCAGTTGTGATGTTGTGGGTTTGCCACGTCAAGAGAATAACTGCACTTGTGACAACTGGTTTTATTATCGCAGTCATTAGTGACGAGGCAGAGACCATTAACTCGCTACAATTTAAGGAATCGGTTTAACGGCAGCTGCCTCCATTCGGAGCCCGGATCTCAGCGGTGCTGACTTGGCACCGACCGAGCCACGGGGCCCCTCCCCCCACGTCAACATAAACGTCGTTGGGGACGTCTCACCAGCTACTCAATTGGAGCAGCGCTGACTGCGGGTGGGCGAGACAGGCCAGGTTAAGATATCTCTTGGCCGAACAGCCCAACGCATGACCACCTTCCTGCAGCATATCTTGAGACCCAGTTGAAGATATCCGTCTTAGATAAATTACATGACAGGTTCATCTTCTTGGTTCTTTCGGTAAAGTCACGTAGAAGGGAAATAATAAATAACAAAACATAATAAAATAATTCTCACATTTCGGCCACAACACAAGCAGCCGTCCGAAACGTCGTGAGAATTATTGTTTTATCTTTATTATTTCCCTTCTACGTGACTTTACCTAAAGAACCAAGAGGATGAATCCCTGCAGTGACGAAAGCTTTAAATCGAAATTTTACTTGACATTTGAATAACTATACTGGGCGTTTGCACATCGCGAGCAGCACAGCTTGTAGCGTGGCGTGTACATACATGCACACCGACACGTGCATACGAGACAGGTCAACCCGTTTTGAGAACAGGATGTTTATACACAGAGCAGGGTGGGTTGCTAGCAGAGATTGATTTTACCGTCAGAGCACAGAGCTCGGGCCGGCTGAAGCCATGGGGTTGAATCAGGGTCCGGCCCTCCCAGAGTAAAGTCAAGCAGGTTGTTGTGTGTCGACTTCCATCACAAGCAGACGTTCTCAAGGTGAAGGCGAGGAGAATTCAGTTGAGACATTTTCAGGACCATGAAAAAGCCACTGCGCCACATGGGAGTTAAAGTGACAGAGTTAATGGTGAAGGCCACACAAAACTCGAACTTCGCCACGTGGTGCTAATGTGCATTGATTGTATCGAGAAGCACTGTCAAATACATCTGTCTGGCACTCGATTTCACTGTAGACATTTCAGTGCACATATGCAGCAGTGGGCACACAATAGCAGTTAATGAATGCGTACAGAAAGCTATTAGCAGTCTAAAAGTCACTGAAAGCAGACAAATCAATTAAGAGAAACGAAAGTCGACTTGTGTTGTCTTCCAGTCATTCCTCAACGTGGCCTTAAAAGGCTGCAGCGGTTTTCATCGAAATGTATCAAAAAGGAACATTCTAAATTGTATGCCAATTGGACTTACTGGCATGAGATGAAGATCATGGGAGGAATACATTTGAAATTTAAACTCTTACACAGACCAGAAAGTGTTCTACCCCCTCTTAAATGACAGCATCTGGAAGATGAAATGACAGAACTTCTCGGTTCACCTCAATGAACCCTTAGCCACATTTGGGATATTGTTGCACTCGATCCGTTGCCCTGCTATGGATGAAGAGGTTCGTTACATTGCAGTCGAACCCCCATAAGTCATTCCTAAGGGCTGTAAATAAGCAGAATTAAATGTATGTATGTAGACCTTCTTTCGCACCATATGTAGCCAATCGTGCTAAACGATGGGTGTTGTGGGAGACACCGGGGACAGGGATGAGACCAACATCTCTCGAGACTTGAGGCCCCGGGTTACAATTGCAGGCGGGTGGGTACCTGGGTTTGAGCTGGGACCTCGAAATGACAACATAAAACATTAGCCCCGCGAGCCACCTGGCCAAGTCGATGTATGAATGCGTTTAAAGGCCGCCACACAAATTGTTAGAATGCTCGGAAAGCGCAAAATTTAAAATCATCAACAACATCGTGACGCTTATTACTCTCATATTAGTAACCATTAACCCTAATGCACCCATTTCATAATGTATATGCAAAAGATGGCAAAATTATCGTCATAAACAATGGCGGAGCCAACATTTTCAGGTATGGGGGGGGGGGGCAACCCCTCCAGCAATGAAAAGTGATAGTTGTTAGTAAGTAAGGACTTGTCCCTTGCTTCTTATTCAGTTTCTCAGTTTTCGACGCGTGTGCGGCGATGGTGCAGCCATCGATCGAGGGTCAAATTCGAACCGTGTTGTGTGACCGGCATCGCGCTCGCTGAAGGCGTTTGCCTTCAGGCAAGTCGTGGACTGTATACGCAACTGCGCACAATTCTGAGTCACTTATAACTGCTTTGCCGTTACTTATTGCCAATTATGGAGTCAGACTATTGTCCTATCATCAGTCCCTGGCACGTAACAATCTGCTACACAGTGGCAGTCGCAAAATGCCGATATATTACTAATAAACCCCAATGATCCGATCGAAATTAGGGATTTCGATCATATTATTGGGGGGGCACGTGCCACCCCACCCCCCCCACTGGCTCCGCCAGTGTTCATAACTATTGGAAGCAAATTTTGTAAGTTACAGAAGATTTATCTCAACAAAAATGTGAAACTCTTCCCCTCCAAGTGGGTGTAGGCACGCAGGATCGGCGACCATGTCAAAGCAGCGATGCCCAAAAAGAAAACTCCCAAGAACGAGCGTATAAAACTCCTACACTCTAACGTTTCACAAATTTCTACTACTTTCATAAACAAATGTGGTTTGGGCACAAAGCACACAGCTCGCCACCGAAGATAACGCCTGCCAGTTTACCCTTCGACGGTCGCTAGTGACTCCGGTTCCGATTTTGTTTTGTTTCACTCAAATATAGCCGTGGGTGGAGTCGAAGAATGAACAACTCTTTGTACAATCACACAGCGGTCGATCCTCAGTAGTACCGCAGGTCATCCCTCCGGTTGTCCCAGTCTCCATCTCTCGACTCCCTCTTCGAGTAATGTTTGTCTGCAAATTATTCAAAGAGACGAACAATTACGTAGATGCAGAATCACAGTACAACAATTCATGTTTCTGCAGTGTTCTCTAGTTTTACATGACATTTATTATATGAAGGTTCCTATCATTATGCTCATTTACCCAAGAAAGCCTCAGCGAGTCTCAAGACTTTTTCCCAGCAGGGTCCTGCCAGGTTCTCAGCAAGGGGCGATCTCGCTGCTGTAACCCCAATCGCTTCACGAGAGAGCAATGTGTTTCATTGCAAGGGCCCGCAGGCCCCTGGTGGCCTTTAGTGCGGAGCCCGACAATACACAAATGTGAAAACACCCCAACATCGTCCTGATGTCAAACACCAATTATTTCAAATGTGTGGCGGCCCTCACACGGATGTCTTATCGGCGAAAGTGACCCCCCCACTGTGAAAATTAGTGAAGAATACTGAAGGACTAAAACAGCCAGAGCAAGGGGATTCCTCTGAATGGGGGGAGGGGGGGCACAGGCACATGGAGGGCAGGACACTGCTGTTAACTCTTCACAGCTGATCCCATCTAATCTGGGAACCTGGCAGTGGCAGGATGATATTTCCAGATAACCAAATGTAGGTTTTTGTAGGCGAGATGCAGGATGTGTCTGCTGCTTCTTGTGTGAAATATGTGGAACAAAAAATATTGCACTCAAGTCTCCTATCATTCTGCAAATTTGAACCCAATATCAAAGCGACCCACTTTTACTGAATTAAAATAGTGGCTGGCTGCAGGATGAATTAAGAGTTGAAAAACACATTGCATGTGAAACGGTTAAAGGAACCCTTCCCCTCCTTTTCACCACGAAGCCCGCGTAGAATCAGCTCCGTCGTCCTAAGATACGAGCGAGGCAATAGGCGTGAAAGGAACTCCAAGACCCTAACCTTCTAGGGCCTGCGGGTGCCGGCTCTGTAGGTGGTATATCATCGCCGGCAGACTGTCTCCCTTGTATTGCAGCTTCACGCTACACAGGCAGCAGCGCATGCCGCTGCCCAGCAGCTGGAAGTGTGACCACACGTCGCTGCGCGCCAGCTCGTTGGAGCTGCTCGGCTGCCAATCCTCGCGCTCATCTGTAAGGAGTAAGAGGGGGGGCGGGGGGAGGGGGCTAAAGTGTCACATTTATTTGGCACTTAAGTCTTGTACGTTCCGGAACGCACCAGAAGTCTGCACGCGATCATAGACGGATTGGACAAGGCCCAGGGCCAGGCTCGAGGCCCATCTGGACATCCACAATTGAGGCTCCGACCTCAGGCGTCGTGAGATCTCAGTTTAACACGGAGATTTTCTCGACCAATATCATTCATAATATAAATCTGGCTGTCCGCCTGATGATACAAATAGTAATTACTGGCCAAACATCGTACTCGGATTGTAAATGTTGTGGATTTGCTCTCCAACACACCGGTGTGCGGTACTAGTAACGAATTGGCATGTCCTATTGAACCGCAAAATTTTGCCACAAAACTGTAAATAATCTCAACTATTCTTTTATTTTGCCAGGTCAGGTCCACTCAGCTCTTTTTCATAAGCGATCTGGCCACAAACGCTCGCTCAACCAAGTGGCTTATCACGTGGAAATGTCACGTAGCCACTCTAAACGCATATTTCTAATATGGAGAGAAAAATCGGAATACCTGGAGAACAATCGATGCGACCACAGGGAGAGAGAACACACGCAAACTCCAAACATGCAGGCGTCGGAGTCGGAATCGAACCCACGACCTCCTGCATAGCAGGCGAGGTGGTGAACATCTCCTAGCCCAGCGGTCGGGAACCTATGGCTCGCGAGCCATATATGGCTCTTCCAGTGACGGCATATGGCTCCCAGACAATTTTGAGTTGAAAAAAAAAAATCAGTTTGGAACTGATTTTAAATTAGTTTTGAAGATAAATTTCACGGGTCACGCCTGCATGAAGCTCAACCTCACCACGTATGAACCAGACTACAAGGCCATCAGCAAAACCATGCAGTACCAGAAGTCGCATTAAAAGTAAGACATATTTAATTTATTATACGTTAAAAATACTATATGGCTTTCAATGAAATATATTTAGAAATATTTGGCTTTTATGGCTCTCCCAGTCAAAAAGGTTCCCGACCCCTGTCCTAGCCAGTGGCGGCCAGCTGCTCAGCCCTGACGAGCACATGTGCGCGAGCGCTACCCACCCTGCATGTTCCTGTAGAGCCGCGAGGTGCCATGAACGCCGCCGCCGCCGTCGCCAGCCTTGCCCACAAGGAAGCCCTGCTCGGTTGTGCCCCCTCCGTAGGCGCTCATGTCCCCGTACTTGTTGTAGCTGCCGCTGTAGGGGTTCTCGGCCCCATTTCCTAAAATGGGATGGGGCGAGGCATCAGAGTTAAGCGTTTACATGGCCATGTGCCAACTGGAGTGCAACTCTAGATTTGAAGCTTTCGTGACTGCAATGATTCATATTCTTAGGTTTTTTCGGTAAAGTCACGTAGGTAAAAACATTAAAAAGTAAAATAAAATAAAAAATCACGACGTTTCGGAGGCAACACAAGCTTCGGTCTTCAGGTGGTACCGTCACAGCCACGACAGCTGTATCAAGTAAATGAGAGATTGCAGGAGCTACCATTATATAAACGGAGTGGTAGCTCCTGCAATCTCTCATTTACTTGATACAGCTGTCGTGGCTGTGACGGTACCACCTGAAGACGGAAGCTTGTGTTGCCTCCGAAACGTCGTGATTTTTATTTTATTTTTTAATGTTTTTACCTACGTGACTTTACCGAAAAAACCTAAGAATATGGAGTGCAACTGTGTAAACCTGGCTGGCGTGTACTGGCTGGAGTGCAAGCATGTGTGCTAGGGTGTGTGTGCTCGCTGGTTCTGGCAACCCACCCGGTCATGTGCAGTGCCGGCCTTCATAGGTGCTCATGTGCTCGCTAGTAGCACTTGCCCCTACAGTCTGTCAAGGCTATAATATTGAGGGTGTCTTTGTAATGTGCGTGTTGCAAGGTAACAGTTAACCCCAAACCCCCCCACCCACCCCGTGTTTGTGCATGCGTGGGAGCTCATTGACACCCTTACTCGCCGCACCGCTATTGCCGCTGCCGTTGAAACCATCGCGGCCGTGACCGCTCATGGTCCCCATCATCTTCGGATCGTAGGAGCTGCCCGCGGCCGAGCCAGGCCCCGCACCAGGGTTGGTGATCCCGGCTCCCAACGTGTTGGCAAGGCCCAAGGCGTTGGTGATGCTCATGGCCGGCATGGCCGCGGCGGCGGCAGCGAGGGCAGAGGCGGACGCTTGCGTGTTGGGCATGAGGAGGCCCTGCAGCGTCTGCACGGCCTGCAGCACCTGCAGAGCCTGCAGCGCCTGCATGCCGTTCACTCCCGGCAAAGCCGGGACAGACGGCATTCCCGGCATATTCGGTGGCGGTGGCGGCGGCGGCGGCATCCCCGACATTCCCGGTGGCCCTTTCATCCCCTGTGCCCTTGGCATTGCCGACATGCCGGGCATGCGGGGCGGGGGCATGCCCTGGAAGCCTGGTGGGCCGAACATTCCCTGCATTCCCTGCATGCCCTGCATGCCCTGCATGCCCGACATGCCCTGCATGCCCTGCATGCCCGACATGCCCGACATGCCCGGCATGCCCTGCATGCCCTGCATGCCCTGCATGCCCTGCATGCCCTGCATGCCCTGCATGCCCTGCATGCCCTGCATGCCCTGCATGCCCTGCATGCCCTGCATGCCCTGCATGTGGTGCGGGGGCATGTTAGACGAGGGCATGCCGTGGCGATCGCGCCCTGCAACGGCACATGGCGTGGCACGGGTGAATGCCAGCGGGTGAGGGTGGCGCGACAATTGTACGTGACAAGAAGCACTTCTTTCACACCGTACGTAGCCAACCGTGCTGCTCATGGGAGTGCAGTGCTAATTGGGGGTAACTTTTACATGACAAGTGATTGGTGGTGATCGTTCTGTGTACGTTGAGGAAAACCAAAACCTTAAGATTTGAACAGTCAAGGAAAAAAGCGAATCCTTTTCTTAAACTTGTGATGTCTACAAGAGCAAAGTTAAGACAAAAGCAAGCCCTGAAAATACATTTGTAAAACTTAATATAACGTACATGCACGTTTAAACGTACATCTGAAATATGCCATTGGGAGTTGAGGTGCAGTAAGGCAAACACACGTCCTCCCAAAAACTCCCGAGAGGCTACGTGATACTGGGGGGCAAGCCGAGAACGGTGCGAGTGACCGTGTGCGGAGGTGACGACTTACCGCCGCCCATCTCCTTCTGCTGGTGCTCGGTCCAAACCTTCTTGACTTCCACTTGTTTGTTGTTGATCATGTGGTATCGTTGCTCTGCGCACAAGAGACGGCAGTCGTTTATAATGTTAGTGCACTTGATTCGTAAGAATGGCATCAGGTTACATGTTTAAAGGCATCCAAATGCCGTCATTGCATTGCGCTCTTTCAGATGCACTTCTGCGGCCATCTGATATGCTCTTGCTTCGAATATACGAAAGCCACTGAAGCTATGCCCTTTTAAATCTAGATTTAACTAATTTATTTAGAACTGAGAGGTTCAACATCATAATCATCATCACAGGGACTCACGGGTGCACTTGTCGACGCAGTCGTGGTCGTTGAACGACACAAACCCGAAGCCGCGGGAGTTCCCGGTCTTGGCATCCTTCATGACGAAGGCCTCGAGCACGGCGCCATACGACTCAAAATACTCGCGCAGATGAGGGCTCGTGATCTCGCGGCCCAGGCCGCCAACAAAAATCTTGGTCACCTTCTCCTGTGAGCCGGGCATGCGCATGTTCTGTAGGAACAGTGGTGGGGGACGGGGGGGGGGGGGGTTAGGGGGCAAAACACTGCATAGCATTCAAAGATTCCTCAATAGTAGTGGAGACTGAAGGGGCAAGAGTGCTGCTAGTGGGCACCGATGAAGGCCGGTGCACGAGGGGTGAAGTGGCCAACACTACCCAGCACACTCGTTTGCAATCCAGCCAGCACACACCTGACAGCACACACGCGTCGAGTCCAACCAGCACACACTTGCATTCTTGCCAGCACACACCAGCCAGCGCACACACACACACACGAAGACTCCAACCAACACTCGGCATGGCATTCGTACAAACACAAAGATTCCCTCAATGGTAGTGCACACTGTCAGGGCAAGCACCGTTAGCAACTACCTATAAAGCTCTGCCACATGTGGCCAGATCTCAACATTCAAACAGCCACCATTGGCCAATAAGTGACGGTGACATCACCATAACGCTTATGCCAGAACAGGTCTACTTTTTTTTCGTGAATTGTTAAAAACCCGTGCTGGCAGGTGGGGGGGGGGGCGTAAGAGACAGATCCAAGTGCTCTGGGTTAATTGACCAATACGACTGGCAGATGCACACACTTGCGCCCCCCCCACTGTGCCACTTGGCGTGCCGCTCATTGTGAGCATCGCTGCTCCTCCCTCCGTAGTTACTGGATGGTGACGGCAACCAATTGCCCAGTCGCATCTTTCACGAGCCTCCTCCACAGAGGACCATCGTGGCAGCGCTTGTGACATGCCCCCTTCAGCTCCACATCCTCCTATACAGCGTTAGTCCGGCTCTTCTCCAGCCCATGCTGCATCCATTTTGCCCACTCTATCCAGCCATACAGAAGCTACTTGGGCATGCAGTGGCTGGGCATGCGGGCAAAATGATCCAGCCAATGCAGCCTCCTTGCCTTTGGAAGGAGCTCGCTGATGAGACCGTGCAGAACGTACGCACGCACGCAAGGCTGCTGTCCTATTCTAAACGTCGAACTTCTTTTGCAACGAAAGAGCCTACCGTGCTAGTCGGAGGTGCAGGGAATGACAAATTAAACAAAAAAAAAAGAAGAGCGAGTGATGCAGGCACCTGCGCACTCATGGCACGCTTGGCATCCACCACGACTCCGTCGATCATGTGCGGCCTGTTCCTCATAGCCTCGTCCACCTCCTCCACGCCAGAGTACGTCACAAAGCCACATTTGCGCGACTTGTTCGTGCGTGCGTCTTTCAGAACCTGAACACAAGGCCCAAAGGGAAGCGGGGAGAAGGGCGGCGTTAAGGGAGGGGGTAAGAGGCATCAAGGAGGACGGGAGGGGTCGCAACCAGAACCAAGGGGGCAAAGCTATTGGATGAGCTACTCACGGTGCGTCACTCATAACCCTTCCGCTCATATTGCTACCAGGCATTAAACAATTCACCGATTCTACGCATCGTAACAATTCATTAGCTACGATTGGATTACAGAATCAATTACTTTTACCATCTCATTTGGCCTTGTTTGTACACGGCTATTGTTTGCACCGATACCTCAACGCAGTATTGGCATATCATTCGAATTAACAGTCAGTAATGTATAACGATGGAAACTATATGATGCATCATCAATGAGCGCATAAATGTAATTCATGAGAAGAATCTATGCATCAGTACTTTCTCATCTGTCTAAAATTAAGATCACCTCACCGGTTTTCATTATCGCACGTCAATTATGCCAGATAATTATCTTGTCAGTACCACATGACATAGCAAACCTTTGGCAACTTAAATGTAAATGGCCAATAATTCAGCATTTAATTCACCTTACACATTTCTTCATACAGCTCCTATATGAATATCCACTTCATTTTCAGAAGCATGACATCTGTTGAGAGGCGAGTGCTGTCGTGGTGGATTTGAATGTGAACTCGGGGCTATTTGTTAAAGGCCCCAACCAACCACATCGCTCAGTGGAAGGTCGCTCACTCTCTTCTGCTGCCTATAAGATCTTACTTTCTCTATATCATGAAAAATGATTAAAAAGGCTTCAAATCAAGATTAATATTTCCTCAATTATAAAATACTATTTTTCCATTACTATATCATTGCCCATGGACTTGAAAGCAAAATTTGGGGTGCACCTTATAACCAAATGATATTATTATGATACCGGGTACAACTTTAAGGGGAATTTTACTTTCCAGTGTCCAGTAATCCAGCGAGTACAGCCATATGCATACCGTTCCTGCATCTTGAGATCAAATGTATAGACCAGGGGTCGGCAACCTACGGCTCCGGAGCCGCATGCGGCTCTTTACAGGCTGCTTCTTGACGATATGTACAGTATGTACTCAGATGCATTGCGGCTCTTGAAATACTGAATTTTGTACCGAATTGGAAAGAAATGGCTCTTCTTGTTATTTTGGTTGCCGACCCCTGGTATAGACAGTCATACCCCGGTATACGACCGCATTGGAATACGTCGAATTTGGTACACGTCGTGTTTTGACGAGAGAAAAATATCTTGGGATACGACGTCTTGCTTGGGATACGACGCGCTTGCTAGAACTTGTATGGGTCGGGATGAGTCACCGCGTGCAGTACCCGCGTACACAATCCTGTTACGGCTCTAACAAGCCGTAGCAGTATTGTGTGGAATTACCAGACAAAGTCACACTTCAGGAACATTCATAGAAGGCAAAAACAAACTTATATGGACTGGTTTTTAGTAAAACTCAAACCTGGTGAGCCTCAACCAGGTCCAAGTCAAGAAAAAAGACAGAAAGAAAGAAGCCCCCAGAATTTCGGCTTCCTGAAGTTTTAATGGAAGGGGACTCTCCTTCCAAAACATCTCCTCCTCGCCTTCCTCACCACCATCTTCGTAGGCTATCAACTGCTCTCAGCAAGGTAAAGTGATGTTCAATTTTATTTCAATTTCAATGTATTTAAATGTATTTAAATGTATGTATGCATTTTAGTAATTAGTGTCTAAATTATTTTATACAACCCCATTAATGAATAATATGCCATAAAAAATATAATTTCTTATACTCTGGAACAGATTATTTCCTTTCCCTTGATTTCTTATGGGAAAATTCGTTTGGTGTCTACGTCATTTTCGGTATAAGTCCTACCTTCTGGAACGAATTAACGACGTATACCGAGGTACCACTGTAATTATCTAAACTACATTTGCATGACGAACGCGCACACACACACTCACCACGGCATGCACCACCGTGCCATACTTGGAGAAGTAGGAAGTGAGCGTGTCGGTTTCGGTGTCGATGCTCAGACCACCTACAAACATTTTGCGCACAATGTGCCAGTCTTCCTTTACGTCCTGACAGGTGATAGGTGGATAGGTGAGAAGGGAATGCAGGGGTGGCAAAGAGGCGAGGGAGTTCAAAGGGCATCGTTAAGATCGGCAAAGCAACACCGGGAGCCTCAACCGAACTCGCGAGCAAGCACACGATCTTGCGTCGAACGTCAGGGCTGCAACGGAGGAAGCCCTTTCTCCGCTCGGCTCCTGCATGAGAAACGCTGTTCGGACGCCGCGCCGCCTGCCAGTACGCGCCCCCCCCCCCCTCGCTTGCGTAACAGGCAGACGAGCGGTGGTGCGGGGGGCGGCGCCGACTCTCCCTTCCTGCTCCCGTGTCCATGTCGAGAGCGGCTGTGTCGTAAAACGCAAGCGCAGCAGGGAGAGGGGGTTGGTGAGGTGGGAAAGGAGGAATCGCGTGGGAAGCCGGCTTCCCTGCGAAGTGGCAAGTCTCACATCGGAGCGTCTCCCTGCTCCAGACAAACGAGAAGCGGCGCATTTCTCTAACGACAGAACAGTTGGTCGTAGAGTAGAACGTATCCAACTTGCTGGGGACTGGGGCATTAGCGGACACTTGAAAGGCCCGGATCTGTGAACACCTATGCAAAATGAGTTACATTAAATACTGCACTGGGTGTGGATGGGTAAGGGTGGATAGGTGGTCGGATATGCGACGCTGTATTTGTAGTGAAATTTAAAGTCTCTATAAGCATGACGACCGTTTTGAACACTCACAAAACGGCACAAATTTTGACCATATTCTAGGAAAAAATCCAATTGGAAAGTGATAAAAAGGCCCAAATTACATGGTCGAATGCTCCTGTTGGCTAAGATTTTTGTCAAAAGTGTGCCAATCGGCAAAAAATTCATAAAATTGCTGAGGCGATGTGCTTTAACCATTTAATCTCGGTATGAATCAGGACCCTTATGGATAACAGCAAGACTGCCACAAGGCAAGTAGCAATTCAACCATATCTAGCGATTCCAATTAATCGTCACGATCCAGGTTCGTGGTTTTAATTAATAATTCTCATCTCATTGTATTCGTTCTGACTTGTTCCGTCTCGTTTGGATATAGTTTTTTTTTCGATCCAATAGCCTGAATGTCACATGAGCATATAATTTTGCTTAAGTCGTTTAAGTGGTAAAATAAGTCTCGTGTACAATTTGATGCAAGCAAGAATGGATTTCAATCAATTAACTGCTCTATCATTAGATGCTTAAATGCCATCCATTGCTGCATATCACAGGATTTCTCCAGCAACACTCACGAGTTTGAAAAGCAAATTAACTTAGAAATCTTCACCTATAATGACTGCATTAATAATATACAAGCCCAGAACAGATTTTACTTAATTGTTGGTACAACCTGCATTGGATGACTTCCAATTTATTTGTGGCCAACAAGAGTGAATTGTGAATTAACCATTTTAAATGAGCGGGTTATCAAATAATCGACTCTTATTAGCCATATGAATAAATCGGTATTACTCAAGTTTTGCCACCATAGCTGGTACCAATTTCAGCACTAGTCAATCAGCGGAGTGAGTATTTCCAACTAAAAAACAAGCTGCGCACACAAACAGCAGCTGTTGTGCAACGTGACTTCATTTCTCTGGGAAGGTTGCTGGCACCGGGCCGGGTAAGATGGCCCATGTTGCCACAAATTGAAGAGGCCGACTGGCCCTGGAAGCAGCCCCTGAAGTCACGGGATCAAAGTTGAAGCAAGACGAGCACCCTCTGTGATAGCACCCGCTTGGTTTAACGTCCGATTGTGCGAGTTAAAAACAGCATCACAACAATAATGTTAACCCACTGTTAGATGAAGACCTATCAACGCTACCAATGATGTGTCGGTCATGGGGGTTGATCTTTCTTCACCAGGCTACTCGGTGTTGAATCTTGATTTGAAGCTTTCGTAACTGCAGGAATCCATACTCTTTGGTTCTTTGGGCAAAGTCACGTAGGTAGATATATTATTATATATTATTTTATTATTATTAATTTTTCTACCTACGTGACTTTACCGAAAGCACCAAAGAGTATCGAGTACTCGGTGTTGGTTTAAGGGAAAGAAGCACCAAGGACCGACTAACATCACTCATCGCTGATGGAAGTTGGGGATCAAATTCAGGAGCGAGGGTCAGTGTAGGCATGATGTAAACGTTGAGCGGAAAAAAACCCTAAAATACTTAAAATAATTGGAAGACAATAGTCCCAAATCAGTCAATAATATTTCTTATTTTTATCTATACACTGTGAATCCACTGCTGGATGAGGCCATGTCGGTCCAGGGAGTTGTGTGACCGACCATATTACAGCATGATGGTTAATATGCGCATTGGTGCAACGCCTCAGGACCAGATAGGTCAGACATCACTCCATGGCCACAGACGTTGGCCATGGGCTGGGAATCGAACCCCAGCAGCCAGATTCACAGCATGAACCCCACATCATCTGTAAACGTGAACATTTGCAAGTTATTTCGCCAGCGTTTGTTAATGCCGATGGTGGCAAATCATTTTCACAACCTGTGCATCCACATCGGGCCAAACTCGAACGCCACGTTTTCAATTATTCACGTTTGATTTCACGCTAAACAACCTCGCACACCACATTCTTGTAAACCAGTGACATTCTCACAGCGCAAACTACGGTCCTTACATGGTCGCTTTAGAGGACTTGAAGCCAAACTTCTTCGCAGTCTCAGCAGTTGGAGTGTTTTGATGATTTTCAGTTTTTGTACACTTTGTTTAGACTTAATGTTACTTTTGAATTTGAGAAAATAAAAAATGTAATCTTCCATTTCAATTCTTCTACATTGTTTTAGTTTGCAGTGCCCAAACGGTAAGCGGCAATAGCCACAACAAGGACTCGATATAAAGCAAGCGACAATGAGTAGTGGAACATCAAAATACTGTACACACAGCCGCCGTTTTCCACAACGCGCATTGCACCATCGCTTGCGAGAGCCAATACAGAATCCCGCGAGCAAACAGGCCACGCAATTTCAACCACTGCAAAAACTTAAGCAAAAACAATTTCCTTGCAACTGTTTTGCTCGACTTTTTGCATCATTTCAGCGAGCTCAAAGGGTTTGTGGAAAACGGCTTTATAAACTCCAGGGGGCCTCGCAAGCACCACATGCACGCCACATGAATATTTACATTCTTACAGAAATCCTAAATCATACCATTAAGGTCCATTTTTGGTTGTCAGGAATTGGTTGTCATAATACATTTGTAAAATGCATATGCTGTGTGTGTTCAGCCTGTCACGGACACCATGAAAATTGACTTAAGCATACACACAAAAGGTTACATACAATACATAGAGCTGTACATTAAGCTATTAATGTACACACAAGCAATTATGCATGCAAGCTGTAACCATATAGGTCTACAACACCACAAATGTTTATTTTGATATTAAAATTTTGGGATAAGGATGTGGTATTTCAGCATTATTGCCTACGAGTAAAAGTGTGTTCATGTCCACGGCCACAAATCGTGGATTTGGTCATTAATCGCTGCCAAAGCGAGTGCATGAGGGTGTAATGTTGCTTTTTGTTGTAGTTGGGGAATCTGCAAGTGCCCGAACTCGTCACCACCGCAGTAGCGGCCACGTATTGGAAAAGGCGTGACTGCATTTGCGAAGCCCCCTGACACTTAGAAAAAAAAACATTCATCTTATCTATGTAAGTAGACGTAGCATCAGTAGATGTAAAAACTCCACAAATACTGTACCTTCAATAAGAAAAACACAAGAAAAATTACATTAGTAGAAACAACTCAAACGGTAAATAACGGTAGTAACCTGGAGACAATACCAATGCAGCTCCATCCCTGTACCTTAACAATCATGCAAGCACATTCAATAGGCAATGATCATTACGATAGTGATTTGAGGTCTTAAGGAGAAACAATACCATAGTGCGAAAGAGATTCAACAAACATTACCTGGGCACATACGCTATGAGACATTATTAAAAGCACAGTAACATTGCATGTAAAGTATTCACAAGTGTATACATTTAAAATATCACAGGTCGTTAAATATGGATATATGTAATGTGAAAAACAGTTCGAGGTAGCATTAAAAATACATTATTGACCATAGTGGTGTAAAGAATCCCAATAGGGTAGATGTAGGTATAAATGTATATTGCACATTTACTACCCTTTAATACAACTCTTACGTGATAGTAATCTGTCATATTGATGAACTTCGCAGTGTTAATTAAAGGGTATTTGGTGGTAATATCAAAAGTGTTACTGAAAATAGTAAGGTTGGAGTTATATGACATTTTCTATATGTAATTAGATAATTGAAATAATTATAATGTATTAGATGCCACATACGCAATGCCTCTATTTTTCTCATTATATGTTCATTATTTAGTTTTCGACCGGTTCCGTATTCCTGTAGTCACATGTAAAGCACGCTCTGATACTTGCTGTTTGTATCGCGATCAATGCGATTGTAATTAAGATGTGTACCGTATAATCTCTAACAAGTCGCCATGAAATAAGAGCCTGACCCGCTCATTGGGTACTTCCTGCTGAAATAAATAAAATCTAAGGCTGAATAGTTTAACTCATAAAACATGCTGCTAGCTCTTCATTCACACTATAGACAGACATACAAGCAGACAGACATCACATCTCTCTGTGTGTCCTTGTGATGTCTGTCTGCTTGTATGTCTGTCTATAGTTTTCTAGTTAGATTTTTGTTGCTATTTCTTTTATGCCTGATGATGATTGCTAGTGTTGCAATCCAAACGTCGTAATATGCTATTATTTAATTTATTATTTTTTCTTTAGACGTGACCTAACCGAAAGAACCAAAGAATAATTTATCCAATAACTTTTGCGGGCGTCCGATCTGGGCTGCGATGGAATCGGTGTCGTGTTTCGCGAGTTGCCCAAATGTCCCATTGTCAATAATAAGCGACACTTTTTTAAAAGGCGAACATTTTACAATGGCAAGTTAACGAGAAGAAACGGAGGCATCACGGAATTGGTATCCATTGTAAGCAAACTAAAACAATGCTACTTGAGATCATGGTCTAATACGACCACGGGTAAGCCACATCGAGCTAAACTGGAAATGTAAGGCTAAAACAAACATCTAGTTTAACACTTAAATGGGAAAAATAATTGTTTATACAAATACGCGAAAGAACCAACTCCGACAGATGGAACTGGAGCCTCGCCTGAACGGCTCATTGTAATATGTACGAACGGAAAACACGTGTAGGCACCAATTAAGCGAAACAATGTTCATCTTTTATAACAGAAAGCGCTAAGATCGCTTCACAACTCGGGACACTTTGTCAATGAAGAAGCTCGCGTCCTGAAGCGAGGGCCTACTTGGTGGTTGCGGCGCTAGGCCGCAGGCTCGAGTTTAACTCTATTTGTTTGTCTGTCTCCGCTCTGGAGGCGCCAGAAGAGCGGAGCGAGAGCCAGAGCAGAGCTCCTGTCTCTCTGTCTCTCTCTGTGTCGTCGCCTTGCTCCTGTGCGACGGAGCGAGGCTCCACAGACACCCACCGTCATCGTGCCAAGACCACCACCAACACCACCAGCCCTAGCCTGAGCCTCGTCTTCTACACAACGCCACGCAACTTTATTGATACGGGTCGATGACGTCATCACGCACATTATCCCTGTACGTGGTGACCACACAACTTTATTGATACGGGTCGATGACGTCACCACGCACGTTTACGTGGTGACCTCACGACGCGATGGTTTGCTTGATGACGTCATCACGCAGATTTATCCCTGTACGTGGTGACCTCACGACGCGATAGTTTGCTCGATGACGTCATCACGCACATTTACCCCTGTACGTGGTGACCTCACGACGCGATAGTTTGCTCGATGACGTCATCACGTGGTGACCTCACGACGCGATGGTTTGCTTGATGACGTCATAACGCACATTTGCCCCTGTACGTGGTGACCTCACGACGCGATAGTTTGCTCGATGACGTCATCACGTGGTGACCTCACGACGCGACGGTTTGCTTGATGACGTCATCACGCACATTTACCCCTGTACGTGGTGACCTCACGACGCGATAGTTTGCTCGATGACGTCATCACGTGGTGACCTCACGACGCGATGGTTTGCTTGATGACGTCATCACACACATTTGCCCCTGTACGTGGTGACCTCACGACGCGACTGTTTGCTTGATGACGTCATCACGCACATTTACCCCTGTACGTGGTGACCTCACGACGCGATAGTTTGCTCGATGACGTCATCACGTGGTGACCTCACGACGCGATGGTTTGCTTGATGACGTCATCACGCACATTTGCCCCTGTACGTGGTGACCTCACGACGCGATAGTTTGCTCGATGACGCCATCACGTGGTGACCTCACGACGCGACGGTTTGCTTGATGACGTCATCACGCACATTTACCCCTGTACGTGGTGACCTCACGACGCGACGGTTTGCTTGATGACGTCACCACGCACATTTACCCCTGTACGTGATGACCTCACGACGCGACGGTTTGCTTGATGACGTCATCACGCACATTTGCCCCTGTACGTGGGGACCTCACGACGCGACGGTTTGCTTGATGACGTCATCACGCACATTTATCCCTGTACGTGGTGACCTCACGACGCGACGGTTTGCTTGATGACGTCATCACGCACATTTGCCCCTGTACGTGGTGACCTCACGACGCGACGGTTTGTTTGATGACGTCATCACGCACATTTACCCTGTACGTGGTGACCTCACGACGCGACGGTTTGCTTGATGACGTCATCACGCACATTTGCCCCTGTACGTGGTGACCTCACGACGCGACGGTTTTCTTGATGACGTCACCACGCACATTTGCCCCTGTACGTGGTGACCTCACGACGCGACGGTTTTCTTGATGACGTCACCACGCACATTTGCCCCTGTACGTGGTGACCTCACGACGCGACGGTTTGCTTGATGACGTCATCACGCACATTTACCCCTGTACGTGATGACCTCACGACGCGACGGTTTGCTTGATGACGTCATCACGCACATTTGCCCCTGTACGTGGTGACCTCACGACGCGACGGTTTGCTTGATGACGTCACCACGCACATTTACCCCTGTACGTGATGACCTCACGACGCGACGGTTTGCTTGATGACGTCATCACGCACATTTGCCCCTGTACGTGGTGACCTCACGACGCGACGGTTTGCTTGATGACGTCATGACGCGATAACTTTATTGATAGTGGTTGTACAGTGCAATTAAAAAACAAACTTCACGCATTCTTCGATAATAACCCTGGGCCCTCAAAGATGAAACATTTATACTGGGCGACTAAGTGGTGCATTAGGTGGATTGTAGGTTTATGTTTTTACTTTCAATGGACATTCGTTTAAGTAATGTGACTATTGAATGGGTTGTCAAAATCCTACTCGTAGCGGAGCTATTCATGACTGTCGCCTGATGAAGCTTGGTTGTAATCACTGGCGAAACGTCGGACTCGGATTGTAAATGTTAACCTGACAACCCTCACGAGTTGGCCGTGTCAGGTGGTGGCGGGTTTAAACGACACAACATTTATATATTTACGCGATCTAACCCAAACAAACCTCTATAATTTATGTTTACAGTCGAGATTCTAGAATGTTCATTCTTCATGTCGCTGGCGGGCAGGGCAGGATTGGAAGGCCTCGGTGGAGTCGCTGCCCCCGCGATATCGCTCGATGGATGTTCAGTCTTTAAGTTGTCCAAGCCCCACGGCGTGAACACGCGTCGTCTCCCACCCTCTGGCCGCTTCGTGTCATGCGCGAGGACCGTTGCCCGAAACGTCGCCACTCGCTCACCAACCCACTCACTCAGCCACTCGCCCATTAATTCACTCACTCACCAACCCACTCACCCACCAACCCACTCACCCACTCACCCACCAACCCACTCACCGACCAACCCACTCAGCCACTCACTCACCAACCCACCCACTCACCCACCCACCAACCCACTCACCCACCAACCCACTCACTCACCAACCCACCCACTCACCCACCCACTCACCCACCAACCCACTCACCCACCAACCCACTCACCCACCAACCCACTCACCCACTCACTCACCAACCCACCCACCCACTCACCCACCCACCAACCCACTCACCCACCAACCCACTCACTCACCAACCCACCCACTCACCACCCAACCCACTCACCACCAACCCACTCACCCACCAACCCACTCACCCACCAACCCACTCACTCGCGTACACTCACCAACCCACTCACCCACCAACCCACTCACTCACCAACCCACTCACCCACCAACCCACTCACTCACCAACCCACTCACCCACCAACCCACTCACCCACCAACCCACTCACTCACTCAGCCACTCACTCACCAACCCACCCACTCACCCACCCACCAACCCACTCACCCACTCACCCACCAACCCACTCACTCGCGTACACTCACCAACCCACTCACCCACCAACCCACTCACTCACCAACCCACTCACCCACCATCCCACTCACTCACCAACCCACTCACTCACCAACCCACTCACCCACCAACCCACTCACCCACCAACCCACTCACCCACCAACCCACTCACTCACTCAGCCACTCACTCACCAACCCACCCACTCACCCACCCACCAACCCACTCACCCACTCACCCACCAACCCACTCACTCGCGTACACTCACCAACCCACTCACCCACCAACCCACTCACTCACCAACCCACTCACCCACCAACCCACTCACTCACCAACCCACTCACCCACCAACCCACTCACCCACCAACCCACTCACTCACCCACTCACTCACTCACCAACCCACTCACCCACCAACCCACTCACCCACCAACCCACTCACTCACTCAGCCACTCACTCACCAACCAACCCACTCACCCACCAACCCACTCACTCACTCAGCCACTCACTCACCAACCAACCCACCCACTCACCCACCAACCCACTCACCCACCAACCCACTCACTCACCCACTCACTCACCAGCCCACTCACCCACCACCCACTCACCCACCAACCCACTCACTCAGCCACTTACTCACCAACCAACCCACTCACCCACCAACCCACTCACTCACTCAGCCACTCACTCACCAACCAACCCACCCACTCACCCACCAACCCACCCACCCACCAACCCACTCACTCACTCACCAGCCCACTCACCCACCAACCCACTCACCCACCAACCCACTCACTCACTCAGCCACTCACTCACCAACCAACCCACTCACCCACCAACCCACTCACTCACTCAGCCACTCACTCACCAACCAACCCACCCACTCACCCACCAACCCACTCACCCACCAACCCACTCACTCACCCACTCACTCACTCACCAGCCCACCCACCAACCCACTCACCCACCAACCCACTCACTCGCGTACACTCACCAACCCACTCACCCACCAACCCACTCACTCACCAACCCACTCACCCACCAACCCACTCACTCACCCACTCACTCACTCACCAGCCCACTCACCCACCAACCCACTCACCCACCAACCAACTCACTCAGCCACTCACTCACCAACCAACCCACTCACCCACCAACCCACTCACTCACTCAGCCACTCACTCACCAACCAACCCACCCACTCACCCACCAACCCACTCACCCA